CACCCGCCCCCCCTCAACCACCCACCACACCCTAGCTCCTGCCCTTCCCCTTTTGCGCCTCCACATCCCTGCACCCTCCCACCAGGCTGTGCTCCTCCTCACTGTCACACCAAGAACAGTCCCTGGCCACAGTGGCAAAGTGATTAAGATTCTGCCGTGATGCGACTGCAGCACTTCGCAAATGGAAGACTGGACATAATTTCCCTAAAATGCTGTTTTTTATCACCTATTTCCCCTTCATCAGCTTGCCGCACACGATTGATAGCTGATGGCACCTCTGACAACTTAACGATTTTATGGTTAGATTTATGGGCTATCTGCTCCTCTCCTTTTACAGCCCAAACTCTGTAAAAATGCTTATTTCTCAGATAAGGAGAGGGAGGGCGCGCGTCCATGTGTATGGAATAGTATCATTGCCAGCAAAATGAGTGTAGGAGAGAGATGAGCCCCTACACTGCATTGCAGCCAAGAAGAAGCCGTCTTTGACTTCATAGCCTTTTGAAAGCCTAAATGACGTCGGCACATCACCATATGTTCAATAACACTGCTCGGATAGTGACTAACTCTCATCAGCTCTTAATCACCACATCACAAAGCATCAAGCATCATCTGTTGTGGTGGGATCATGGAATATTTTTCATTTTACCCTGTGGCAGGGGAATACAATAACAGCACCAAGATGCAAGTTGGCATTTTTCATTTTACACCACATTAATGTAAGCACGCCACCAACAACTCGTGTTGGGTGCGTCGCTGCAATTCTTAAATCAGGCCAATCTGGTGGAGTTTTGTCGAGTGACGTCATACATTGCTTTTTGTTTTTCTTTTTTTCAGGGGCGGCTTGGGACGGACTTAGACGGCTGCGGAGGTGGTTAGGCCACTCCAGGAACACCTCACAACCTGGAGAGATTTACGGCCAAGTCGAGGCTCCCAGTTAGCCTTCTCCTCGTCTCCGCTGATGTGCCTGGCAGTTCCCAGACGGACATCCCTGGGGACTAGAGTGAGGCAGAGAGGGGGTGGGAGAGAGGGGAAAAAAAGAGAGAAAACCAGTCTGGTGAGATCAGTGAATCAAAGACAGCCAAGGAGGACACACCCAGGAATGGGGTAATACCACACATGTTTTAACGGGGAGCGTCCATAATTCATGACAGTTACCAAGGATACTTGGAGCACTTCGGGAGGGAGGCTGCAGAAATCGCAACTAGTACATGTTATTCAGCGCAGCAAATGCACGGGTGGCGGTCTAATTAATATTCAAGCCAACAGAGAACCTGACCTCGTTAGTAACGCGCAATCTGCGCTGAAATCAAACCAGCACATTTGTGGTCTGCAGGTTTGAAAATCACTTCATTTTGCAATCTTTGTACTCGGTTTGTTAGTAAGAGAACTGAGAAAATGTCACAATTTGTTCAGCAAGATTAGCATGCGCTGTTTGAATTTTGGATAATTTACTGTAGTGTAGGATTAGGTTTCCTACACATGCTGCCCATATAATGCTTCAAAAATGTCTGTCAACCCTGGCTTGGAGTTAATTGTGGGCTTTGTGGCTGTAAAGGATGTTTGGTCACTCAGTCATGTCAGGGCTAAAACTGTGTGTTTATGGAAAAGCGGTGTGTAAAAATCAGCATCGACAAAAAATAAAAACACCTTGAAATGAGTTTTGGACTTCAATGCCAAGGACTCTATTTTCGTGAGCTGTGCAAGTTTAACAGAGATTTCTAACTCTGCTTGAGGGCGGCAGGAAGTCAATGTGAGCAAAATATATTGAGAGGAATTGCAAGCAGACTTCCAAATGCGGATGATGCAAACTTGCCCTCTCACCAACTTCAAAAATCTCTGAAGTGTGCACTTGGAGATCACTTACTAAACCAATCGTTCTTGTCCTTGTGAGGGCCCCCCCCCGCAAAAAAAAAAAAAAAATCAGTATCCAGATCAAATTCACCAAATTCACCAAAATCACCAAAGCTCAGACGTGGGTCCAGCAGGCGTCAAGTTTGGACGGTTTCATTCGGCAAAAATGCTAGCTGTGCCGAGCGCATGTCGAGAGACCCACCCACTGTGTGCTGGAACGCTCAGAGTGGCGCAGACAGATAAACCAAATGACCTAGGAGAAAATCAGAAGCACCAAATTCAGGATACGCCAGCATGAGGCGTCAACAAAAATAGGGCCCAATGTGGTCATCATGTTGATCCCCGCATTATTGCACGTAATGCACCACCTATGTACTAATTTATTGGGGGAATTTACACTCTTGCCGTTTGGTGATGTTCTGAAATGTGGCAAAAAATGTCAACAAAATACCATGGGGAAAAATGTTGGTTTGGTATTCTTATATTTTTCTTGATGTTTTCTTGTCATGTGTTCTGCAAGGTGCTTGGTTACAGCTGCAGCTGTCGTGAAAGCCCAATATACTGTAAATACAGTTGAGTTGAATTTTTGAAAATATTTTTGAGCATTGGGGTTGCTGTTAAAGTGCTTTGGACTCAATCCCTTGCAAAAAGTGAAGGTCCCCTGTGTTAAGACTTTTAGTTAGAGTTTGTTGCATTTTGAGTAATTCCAACAAATAATGACTCATTTTTAGCCACATACCATACTAGTTTTGATGATGCACATAGTCTGCAGAGGAAGTTACTGTTAATGTTAAACACATACTGTACACTGAAAAAAAACGGTATGTTGAATGTACTCAATTTTATGTCCAGTGGTTGTACACAATAGAATCAACTGGATTTTCATTCATTTTGAAATAGATGTATAGTCTACTTTAAAAAATGTGTCTGGATCCAGGTGTTTTAACTTCATGCAGTCACTTCACTAAAATAAAATTGAGTAAGATCAACACAGCATTTTTGTCAGTGTTGTCGTCGATGTTTACTTGCACAAAATCAAATAGTTTGGAATGAAAACATGGCGTGTCTTTGAGCCTGTCCTATGGAAAGCCTCTTGTCAAATATTTTCCACCTGCGCAGGACGTTGAACTTCATATAGAAACACAGCAGCAATACTTTTGTTTGATGTCCTTCTGTATTGTCAATAGTAGGGCACAATAACAACACATGTGAGAGACCTGGAGACAGATATCTTTCCTGAACTTCCTACTCTCAGAACTGCATAATTGTCTCATTGCTGACCTAAGAACAATTGAAAAGCCCACAAGCTCAGTTATGGGAAAAAGGATTTTTAGACTGCCATATTCCACTCACTCAGTCGCAGTGAGTGCCAAGCATTTATCAAGGGTGAGGGAGGCACTTATTTGAAGGGGGGGCTTCTGGGCAAAATTGCGGTTTTTGGTTTTTTTTTAATTGCAATGCAGAACACATGATAATTAAGGGACACTGTCAACACTGAAGAGAACAATGCTCCATAAATAACAAAATATGAGACAAACTAGCTCTGAAATGTTTCAAACTCCCGACTCCACATCTTTGTTTTGCTATACAGTAAATTTAATGTCAGCCCCCTGGTGAGGCATCCATTTGAGGGCTTGCGTTTATTCAAGTGGGCAGGCAATGCACAAATTGTGTTGCAATGTGTTTTCTGCAAGAGCAGAGACCACAATTTGGGGAAAATGTGGTTGTCAACAATGTCTCTTGGAACTGTTTCACACGTCTACTTTCTTAGTGGGAGACGTTTTATCACTGTATGGAAGAAGTTAAGTTGCTGAGAGGGTTGAGAGCAGCTGGAGAACCGCCACTGTCACTGCATGACAACTCGGGATAAAATATTGAGGAAAAGAATGGAGCTCACAATTCCGCAGCACAACAACTCATCAACCAGCTACACACACTTTTCACCCAGCGTACTGTGGAAATGATCAGGTAGGCTAACTCGACGCTTAAATGAGAGGCCTACCAAACCAATATGCAGCTGCACATTGACGACGGACCAAAGGAACCTGCATGCTGAGACATATTTGGACACATTTCCAAAAACAAGTCCGAATTGTACACCAAAGTATTGTTGGCGCTCTCTCTCTCTCTCTCTGTCTCTCTGTCTCTCTCTCTCTCTCTCTCTCTCTCTCTCTCTCTCTCTGTCTCTCTCTCTCTCTCTCTCTCTCTCTCTCTCTCTCTCTCTCTCTCTCTCGACTTCAACACACCCGGATTCAAACGATCAGGTCATCAGCAAGTTCCGTAGAAGCCTGAAACGATCATGATCAATTGAATGAGGTGTGTTGGAGGATGGAGATATCTACAACAGGCAGGATGTGGCTCTCGAGGAACCCGAATTTCCTCTCCCTGCTCTAAAACAGTGCAGAAACATCATGCTCAGTTTTTCCCAATGGGTCACAAGAGCAGCCTAACACTGCCTGGAATGCTTAATTACTGTGCTCATTCTCCATAATTGCTGTTGCTTGCTCTATCTGGAGTTTTATTGAGGTCTGCTGAGCAACTACTGTATGGTTTGACTGCGGCTTTTGGAAGGCATTCGATTTGGGGGGATTTATGGCGTATCTGCTTTACAAAGGTACGTGGAGGTTGGCTGACTCTTCAGATGCTCATTCTTCACATTTTCCAAAACTAGATTTGTGCCCAGAAAACCAACGGGATCAACACCAAATGGGGTTATTACACACTTCTGGGTGGTACTGAAGTTATAACTTGAGGACAGTTAGCTTTATCTTCGCCTTTCTTTCCTCTGGGCGTCACAAAGTCAAATCCGGAAAATCGTGATATCCTCATTCATCTCAATACATCAATAAACAAAAGACCTTACTCACAATAAGCAAAGCTATTTGTGTCTTCCGAAGGCCTCAAACTGGTTTAGCGAGGAAAAATGGTCTCACCCTGAGATTGAGTAGTAAGAATGCATACGCGGCCCCGTTTGAATAAATCACTTGGCAGATGCACAATATTTGATGAGAACACTTTTCCAGCAAGCAGCAGCATGCAAGGAGAAGAGTTCATTCACCTCATCTTTACCATGGATGACTCCCTAGAATGTTTCTGATCAGTGTGAATATTAATAGCAACGGGAAGTGACTATGGCTGTACAAAAATGTAAAAGAGGAATTTGGAAGAGCTTTTTAAAGAGGGCCATTTCATCAGAATCATTATTTTTTTGTGGTTCTCTGAAGGCTCGTAACTGGCGGCCTATGAAGAGAGACATGCCGTAGTGGGGCTGAATTTAAAACCAGAAAGGTCACCGCACTAAGAAAGGTCCTCAGCTCAGCCAAAAATATAAAACCAGGAGAAAAGGCAAGCAGTGGGGGTGGAAGTGGGTGTGGCCCGAGAAAGAAAGGACATGAGAGGAATCTGATTGAGGCTGGGGCCCCGGCAGGAGGACAGAGGCACAAATAATTGTGGAAAGACGGCATTATGGATGGCAACGCAAGATGAGCGAGAATGAAAAGTGAGCGCGGATAACGATGCGCAGCGCAAATGAACTGGAACGGGTTTTGGATCAAACAGATGCACGAGCTTTTTTGTTGACTCTAATGGTGTTTTTGCAAGTCATTTGTTATAATGGCCGACAATATCAGGGAAAAACACTGCATCCATGCAGTCTGTCCAACAATCTGTGTTGGCACCAACACAAGCACCCGGAGCCTTTTGCTGGGTTGGGCGCCGAATGCTTAGCACTGGTCTTGTGTTCTAACGGTCAGATGGGAGACTTGCTCTGCCATGTGCAACTCAGCACAAAATCTGGGCGACCCGATCGGTCTGTTTACAAGCATTGATGAGATTTGATTTGGCTGGGAGATGCACGCTCGTCATGTGTTGCATTTGGCCTTGTTAACAACTGTAAACTGTTGGAGGGCCTTAATACCCCCACACCCCACGCCTTCGACCAACTAACATCCCTGTCTTCAATCACTTGTTTATCTATCAGTTCACTTTAGTTGTCCGCTGTGTTTTTGACTGCACAACATTACATAAAAACTCACAGGAGCCTCATGGCAGCGGCATGACAGCCTCTGATGTAGAGCCTCGTGCTTCGCACAGATAAGGCGGGTTCAATTTTAATGTTGCTAGCACACCGAGACGCACCAGGCTCACTTGTAAAACAGAATGCCCCAATCGCTTGTAAACGCGGCAACCCGGGAGGAGGAAAGGGATGGGGGTTGGGCCGGCTGAGGTGGGGCTGCATTAAAAGAGGAGAGGAATTCTACTCGCCCAACTCCCGCAATACATCCGCGGATCAATTTCGTCTCTCCCATCCCCAATCCATTCCCCATCTCGTTTGAAAACTAATACCCAATTCCAATCACAAACGCAGTAAAGCCTATCTTGTAAAAGGTCATTGTGTGACCTCTGAGTTCTCCTAAGTGACTTGTCGGTGGCCCACTTTCCTCTGAAATACTGCACGGCCCGTCTGAAAATCTGCTTCGACAGCAAGTGAGAGTGAAAGCCAACTGGGTATTTTCAATAAAGGTTCATCCTGACGTGGATGCCCACGCCGCCACGCAGCAGTGCTGGGCTTTTCTCCGTCCATATATTTTGGGGTGAGGGAAACAAGACTTGCAACCAACAGGGACAATGTTGTGGATAGGTGTGCATATGTGGTGGCCAGCGGCAGGATGCCGGCATATAAGTGGCGCCTCCCCGCGCACCCAGCCAGGGGAACTGATCAGATGGACGATCAAACACTAATCATTCCCTCACGGCCTATACCGAGTAAAGCTGTCATTAATTTTGCGGAATTACATCAAATCTGAGA